CAACACAATTTTTAAAAGTACAAAAACATACACCGGGTTAAAGTAAAACAAAATACACACGGGTTTTAAAGTATCAACAAAATACAAAGGTTATAAGTTTAAACAAAAATACACACAGGTTAAAGTACAAAAAAACTACAACGGTTATAAGTATCAAAAAACTACCCGGGTTAAAGAAACAACAAACAAACAACAGTTATAATATCAACAAAAAACACACAGGTTAAAAGTATCAACAAACATCACACGGTTATAAGTACAACAAACTACAAAAGGTTATAAGTATCAACAAACATACCACAGGTTATAAGTATCAACAAACACCCAAACCGATGACAAACATCAACAAACAAAACACGAATCACGAAAAATTTCTAACACATCATACGGACAATAATAGTTGAAAAACTGTTGATGCGTAACAGTGTTATGATTTTCCTGACCACTGGGGCCCGGGTCTCAGCTAGCCGCGGGGCTTTTGGCCCCCGAAACCTCCCAGGAAAAAACTCCAGGAAATGACTGGAACTAAAAGTAACATAGAAAAAGGTGTGAGACAGCGGAGAATTGCTTATCTCACATAAGTAAAAGACCGAAAATTTCCTATAGAGGGAAACAAGGGTCTTTACCTTTTTTTTTCCCACCAGTCACTACACATTAACACAACCTACACTTTGCTACAGCAGATTGTATTTCTGACTTGTATAGTTAAAGAAATTTGTTTTAATAAAAAGCAAGGAATTTTTCACCGATATTTTATTCTTTACACAATTGAAACTTTCCCCAGTTCCTAATTTTGTTTGTATAAAAACCATCACGTTTGAACAATATAAACATGAAAATGATTATTAAAAATTGAGATTTTTTAAATAACAAAAAAAAGGCACAATACCGACGGAACGATCACAAAAAACCACATAAAGAAGGAGGGGTTTACGACGACGTTTCGGTCCCCAAACGTCGTCGTAAACCCTTCTTCTAGTGCGGTTTTTTGTGTAGCTTGTTTGTTATTAGATTTTGGTCAAGTCCTTGGGCCTTAGTGCCTTTTTAATTTATTGACTCCCCCCCACAGGATGGGGGGTTTAGGTATACCACCCACGGAAGGTATAGGACTACCACCCACAGGATGGGTATGAGGACTACCACCCACACGATGGGTATGAGGGGACAACCCACTGGGGGGGTATGAGGGATACCACCCACAGGGTGGGTAGGGTGATACCACCCACAGGGTGGTAAGAGGGCTACCACCCACAGGATGGGTATGAGGTGACCCACCCCACACAGGGTATGAGGGGACTACCACCCACTGGATGGGGATAGGTGACACCCCCCACGGATGGGGAGAGGTGACACCACCCACAGATGGGTATGAGGTGACTACCACCCCGGATGGGTAAGTGATCCACCCACAGGAGGGGATGGGGGGACTAAACCACACGATGGGTATGAGGTGACTACCACCCACACATGGGGTAGAGGGGACTACCACCACACGATGGGTTAGGTGACTACCACCCCACGAGGGGTATGAGGTGCTACCCCCCACAGGATGGTAGAGGGACTACACCCACCGAAGGGGGATGAGGTGACTCCACCCACGGGTGGGTAGAAGGTGACTACCACCCCCGGATGGGTATGAGGTGACTACCCCACGGGTGGAAGGGTGACCCACCCAAGGGGGTTGAGGGGACCCCCCCCCACAGGGTGGTAAGTGACCACCCCCCCACAGGATGGGTAGAGGTGACTACCCCCACAGATGGGTATGAAGGGGCTACCACCCACACGATGGGATGGGGACACCACCCACAGGATGGGGTTGAGGTGACTGCCACCCACGGATGGGTATGAGGTGACTACCACCCCCAGGGTGGGGATGAAAGGGACTACCACCCGCAGATAGTATGGGGGCCCCCCACCCCCAGGATGGGATGAGGGACTACCCCCACAAAGGGTATGAGGTACACCACCACAGGGTGGGTATGAGGTACTACCACCCAAGGAGGGGATGAGGTACTACCCCCCGGTGGGTTGGGTGACTACCCCCCCAGGATGGGTAGAGGTGCCACCCCCCACAATGGATATGAGTGACCACCACCCCAAAGGGGGGTATGAGGTGACTACCACCACACGTGGGTTAGGGGACTACCACCCACTGGATGGGTTGAGGGGACACCACCCCCAGGATGGGTATAGGTGATACCCCCCACACGATGGGGAGAGGGGACTACCACCCCAGGATGGGTATGATTATACCACCCCCCGGATGGGTAGAGGTGACTACCACCCACAGATGGGTTGAGGTGACTACCACCCACCGTGGGTATGAGGGACTACCACCCACACATGGGATAGGTGACTCCACCCCCCACATGGGATGAGGTGACACCACCCCCAGGGTGGGGATGAGGTGCTACACCCACCGTGGGGAAGGGAATACCACCCACGGAAAGGGTTGAGGGATACCACCCAAGAGGGTATGAGGGACTACCACCCCAGATGGGTAGAGTGACCCCCCACCCCCAGGAGGAGAGGTGACCACCCCCCCACAGGAGGATATGAGGTGACCCCACCCACAGGATGGGTATGAGGGGATACCACCCACAGGATGGGTATGAGGTGATACCCCCCCCCGTGGGTATGAGGTGACTACCACCCACGGAAAAGGGTATGAGGGACTGCCCCCCCAGGAGGGTATGAGGGGACTAACCCCCCACAGGATGGGGATGAGGGATACCACCCCAGGAGAGTATGAGGGACCCCCACCCACAGGTGGGTATGGGTGACACCACCCCCAGGATGGGGGATGAGGTGCTACCCCCTCACAGGATGGGTATGAGGTGATACCCCCACAGGTGGTATGAGGGACTACCCCCCACGGATGGGGATGGGGGGATACCACCCAAGATGGGTATGAGGTGCCACCCCCACAGGATGGATAGAGGGACCCACCACCCAAGGTGGGTATGAGGTGGGCTACCACCCCCAGGAGGGTATGAGGGGATACCACCCACCGATGGGGATGAGGTGACACCACCCACAGGGTGTGTATGGGTGACGCCACCCACAGGATGGGTATAGGTGACTCCCCCCACGGGTGGGTATGAGGTGACCACCCCGCAGGATGGGGGATGAGGGGACCACCACCCCCGGATGGGGAGAGGGGACTACCCCCCACAGGATGGGTAAGGTGACTACCACCCACAGGATGGGGTTTAGGGGATACCCCAAGGGTGGGTTGATGACTAACCCCACAGGATGGGGATGAATGACTAACCCCCCCACAGGGTGGGTTGAGGGATACCACCCACAGGGGGGGGGATGAGGGACTACCCCCCACAGGATGGGGATGAGGTGATACCACCCACACGATGGGGTATGAGGGACTACCACCCCCAAGATTTAGAGGGGCTACCCCCCAGGATGGTATGAGGGATACAACCCAAGTGGGGATGAGGTACTCCACCCACACGATGGGTTGAGGTACACCACCACCGGGGTAAAAAAGGGGCTACCACCCACAGGATGGGCATGAGTTTTTACTACCACCCAAGGGTGGGTATGAGGTGATACCACCCAGTGGGTATGAGGGGCTCCACCCAGGGGGGTATGAGGTACTACCACCCACAGGATGGGGATGAGGGATTACCCCCCCCAGGGGGGTATAGGGGGACTACCACCCCCAAGGGTGGGGTAAGGGGACTACCCCCCACAGGATGGGGGATGAGGTGGCTACCACCCACAGATGGGTAGAGGGGGGTTTCCCCCAAGGTGGGTATGAGGTGATTTCCACCCAAGGAGGGTATGAGGTATACCACCCACAGGATGGGTAGGGTGACTACCCCCACGGTGGGATGAGGTGACTACCACCACACGATGGGTTGGGTGAACACCCACACGATGGGGATGAGGGGGATACCCCCCACAGGAGGGGAAGGTGACTACCACCCCCACGATGGGTAGAGGTGACTACCCCAAGGTGGGTATGAGGTACTACCCCCCACAGGATGGGTTAGGGGGATACCACCCAAAGGGGTGGGTATGAGGGAACTACCACCCCCAGGATGGGTATGAGGTAACTACCACCCACAGGATGGGCAGAGGTGACTACCCCCCACAGGATGGGGATGAGGAACTACCCCCCACAGGTGGGCAAAGAGGGGCACCACCCACAGGGTGGGGATAGGTGACTCCACCCACAGGGGGCTAAGGATACTACCCCCCACAGGATGGGGGAGAAGGCCCACACCCCAGGATGGGTATGAATGAAAAAAACCCCAAGGATGGGGAGAGGGGACTACCACCCACAGGTGGGTTTTGAGGGGACACACCCACAGGATGGGTAGGTGACTACCCCCCCCAGGAGGGTTGAATGACTACCCCCACAGGATGGGTAGAAATGACTACCACCCCCCAGGAGGGTATAAGGACTACCCCCACAGATGGGTATGAGGTGATACCACCCCCAGGATGGGTATGAGGTGACTACCCCCCACAGGATGGGTATGAGGGGACTAAACCCCCAGGTGGGTTTAAGTGCCTACCCCCCAGGATGGGGATGGGTAAAAAACCACCCACAGGTGGGATGAAATGACTTACCACCCAGGAGGGATAAAAATGGCTAGAGTTGAATACCCCACAGGATGGGTATGGGGAAAATAACCAAAAATTTAAAAAAAAAATCATGCTAACGTGCTGTGTATTTCTCCCCTTTGTGTCTTGTTTTAATCGCCGAGTCTGCCCCCCGCATCTCGCCCAGCCTCCCCGCCGGCTTAGGTTATTTCCTCTTTTAAACGCAGCAACACTTACGACTTTTTTTTTAGAAAACAGACGTAAAACAACAAAAAAAATAACCTAAATTAATATAAAACATTAACAACGAATTAAGCGCTACCACTAACAATCGTCAACATAACGTTATTACTATATTAGCATACTGCATTAACATACTACCACTACTACAAACAAACATCAACAACAACGAAATACAACACAAAACTTACAAGGATCAACACTACTTTTGACCAAGATCTTGTTGTTGGTGTTGCTGTTGTTGTTGTTGTTGGCAGATTGTTGGGTCTGTAAGGCAGGGTTCGTCTCCACCATGTCGGACAGGAAGGTAATATACCCGATGGCCAGTCTCAAGGTGTCCACCTTTGGAAGGCGAACAAGGGACAAGCGTGTTAAAAATAGTATAAAATACCGATAAGTTGATGAATAAGACATGTCCAGCAGTTGGGTGTCTTTATTGTTGAAACGATTCGCCTGTGTGGTAGGCCTCATCAGTCAAATAGAGGAGTAGTGAGGAGGTAAAGATGATATAATCAGTCCATCAACCATGGAGAAATAGTTTGGGGTTGTCAGTCGCTCAGCTCCACGTAGCTGAAGTTAAGGAACTGACTACCTTAAACTATTTCTCGAAGCCTGATGGACTGATTACATCTTTACCTCGCCACTACTCCAGCTGCCTACAATACATTCTCGTCTGTATTCGACTGATGAAGCCTGCCATGCAAGCGAAACGTGTCAACAGTAAATATACTCAGCTGGATGTACATGTATCGTACCATCAAGGAATATGCACTTGAGAAGGACCTTCCTATAAGGTATACAAACTGGATCACTTCAGACTTAGAAAGGATATAGAAACAGCAATAGTTTGACAAGTAGAGTCGTTAATTAGTGGAACAAACTGCAAAGTACAATCACTGAAATTATTAACTTTGAGTAGCTTTAAAGAAAAGTTATGATGCTTAGGTGTCAGCCTAGTTATGATGCTTAGGTGTCAGCCTAGTTATGATGCTTAGGTATCAACCTAGTTATGATGCTTAGGTGTCAGCCTAGTTATGATGCTTAGGTGTCAGCCTAGTTATGATGCTTAGGTGTCAACCTAGTTATGATGCTTAGGTGTCAGCCTAGTTATGATGCTTAGGTGTCAGCCTAGTTATGATGCTTAGGTGTTAGCCTAGTTATGATGCTTAGGTGTCAGCCTAGTTATGATGCTTAGGTGTCAGCCTAGTTTATGATGCTTAGGTGTCAACCTAGTTATGATGCTTAGGTGTCAGCCTAGTTATGATGCTTAGGTGTCAGCCTAGTTATGATGCTTAGGTGTCCACCTAGTTATGATGCTTAGGTGTCAGCCTAGTTATGATGCTTAGGTGTCAGCCTAGTTTATGATGCTTAGGTGTCAACCTAGTTATGATGCTTAGGTGTCAGCCTAGTTTATGATGCTTAGGTGTCAGCCTAGTTATGATGCTTAGGTGTCAGCCTAGTTATGATGCTTAGGTGTCAACTAGTTATGATGCTTAGGTGTCAGCCTAGTTTATGATGCTTAGGTGTCAGCCTAGTTTATGATGCTTAGGTGTCAGCCTAGTTTATGATGCTTAGGTGTCAGCCTAGTTTATGATGCTTAGGTGTCAACCTAGTTATGATGCTTAGGTGTCGGTCTAGTTATGATGCTTAGGTGTCAACCTAGTTATGATGCTTAGGTGTCAGCCTAGTTATGATGCTTAGGTGTCAGCCTAGTTATGATGCTTAGGTGTCAGCCTAGTTATGATGCTTAGGTGTCAGCCTAGTTATGATGCTTAGGTGTCAACCTAGTTATGATGCTTAGGTGTCAACCTAGTTATGATGCTTAGGTGTCAGCCTAGTTATGATGCTTAGGTGTCAGCCTAGTTATGATGCTTAGGTGTCAACCTAGTTATGATGCTTAGGTGTCAGCCTAGTTATGATGCTTAGGTGTCAACCTAGTTATGATGCTTAGGTGTCAGCCTAGTTATGATGCTTAGGTGTCAACCTAGTTATGATGCTTAGGTGTCAACCTAGTTATGATGCTTAGGTGTCAACCTAGTTATGATGCTTAGGTGTCAGCCTAGTTATGATGCTTAGGTGTCAACCTAGTTATGATGCTTAGGTGTCAGCTAGTTATGATGCTTAGGTGTCAACCTAGTTATGATGCTTAGGTGTCAACCTAGTTATGATGCTTAGGTGTCAACCTAGTTATGATGCTTAGTGTCAACCTAGTTATGATGCTTAGGTGTCAGCCTAGTTATGATGCTTAGGTGTCAACCTAGTTATGATGCTTAGGTGTCAACCTAGTTATGATGCTTAGGTGTCAACCTAGTTATGATGCTTAGGTGTCAACCTAGTTATGATGCTTAGGTGTCAACCTAGTTATGATGCTTAGGTGTCAACCTAGTTATGATGCTTAGGTGTCAGCCTAGTTATGATGCTTAGTGTCAACCTAGTTATGATGCTTAGGTGTCAACCTAGTTATGATGCTTAGGTGTCAACCTAGTTATGATGCTTAGGTGTCAACCTAGTTATGATGCTTAGGTGTCAGCTTAGTTATGATGCTTAGGTGTCAACCTAGTTATGATGCTTAGGTGTCAACCTAGTCATGATGCTTAGGTGGCAACCTAGTTATGATGCTTAGATGTCAGCCTAGTTTATGATGCTTAGGTGTCAGCCTAGTTATGATGCTTAGGTGTCAGCCTAGTTTATGATGCTTAGGTGTCAGCCTAGTTATGATGCTTAGGTGTCAGCCTAGTTTATGATGCTTAGGTGTCAACCTAGTTATGATGCTTAGGTGTCAGCCTAGTTATGATGCTTAAGTGTCAGCCTAGTTATGATGCTTAGGTGTCAGCCTAGTTTATGATGCTTAGGTGACAACCTAGTTATGATGCTTAGGTGTCAGGCTAGTTATGATGCCTAGGTGTCAGCCTAGTTATGATGCTTAGGTGTCAGCCTAGTTATGATGCTTAGGTGTCAACCTAGTTATGATGCTTAGGTGTCAGCCTGGTTATGATGCTTAGGTGTCAGCCTAGTTTATGATGCTTAGGTGTCAGCCTAGTTATGATGCTTAGGTGTCAACCTAGTTATGATGCTTAGGTGTCAGGCTAGTTATGATGTTTAGGTGTCAGCCTAGTTATGATGCTTAGGTGTCAGCCTAGTTATGATGCTTAGGTGTCAGCCTAGTTATGATGCTTAGGTGTCAACCTAGTTATGATGCTTAGGTGTCAGCCTAGTTATGATGCTTAGGCGTCAGCCTAGTTTATGATGCTTAGGTGTCAGCCTAGTTATGATGCTTAGGTGTCAACCTAGTTATGATGCTTAGGTGTCAGCCTAGTTTATGATGCTTAGGTGTCAGCCTAGTTTATGATGCTTAGGTGTCAGCCTAGTTTATGATGCTTAGGTGTCAGCCTAGTTTATGATGCTTAGGTGTCAGCCTAGTTATGATGCTTAGGTGTCGGTCTAGTTATGATGCTTAGGTGTCAACCTAGTTATGATGCTTAGGTGTCAGCCTAGTTATGATGCTTAGGTGTCAGCCTAGTTATGATGCTTAGGTGTCAGCCTAGTTATGATTCTTAGGTGTCAGCCTAGTTATGATGCTTAGGTGTCAGCCTAGTTATGATGCTTAGGTGTCAGGCTAGTTATGATGCTTAGGTGTCAGCCTAGTTATGATGCTTAGGTGTCAGCCTAGTTATGATGCTTAGGTGTCAGCCTAGTTATGATGCTTAGGTGTCAACCTAGTTATGATGCTTAGGTGTCAGCCTAGTTATGATGCTTAGGTGTCAGCCTAGTTTATGATGCTTAGGTGTCAGCCTAGTTATGATGCTTAGGTGTCAACCTAGTTATGATGCTTAGGTGTCAACCTAGTTATGATGCTTAGGTGTCAGCGTAGTTTATGATGCTTAGGTGTCAGCCTAGTTATGATGCTTAGGTGTCGGTCTAGTTATGATGCTTAGGTGTCAACCTAGTTATGATGCTTAGGTGTCAGCCTAGTTATGATGCTTAGGTGTCAGCCTAGTTATGATGCTTAGGTGTCAGCCTAGTTATGATTCTTAGGTGTCAGCCTAGTTATGATGCTTAGGTGTCAGCCTAGTTATAATGCTTAGGTGTCAACCTAGTTATGATGCTTAGGTGTCAGCCTAGTTTATGATGCTTAGGTGTCAGCCTAGTTTATGATGCTTAGGTGTCAGCCTAGTTTATGATGCTTAGGTGTCAGCCTAGTTTATGATGCTTAGGTGTCAGCCTAGTTTATGATGCTTAGGTGTCAGCCTAGTTTATGATGCTTAGGTGTCAGCCTAGTTTATGATGCTTAGGTGTCAGCCTAGTTTATGATGCTTAGGTGTCAGCCTAGTTATGATGCTTAGGTGTCAGCCTAGTTATGATGCTTATGTGTCAACCTAGTTATGATGCTTAGGTGTCAGCCTAGTTATGATGCTTAGGTGTCAGCCTAGTTATGATGCTTAGGTGTCAGCCTAGTTATGATGCTTAGGTGTCGGTCTAGTTATGATGCTTAGGTGTCAGCCTAGTTATGATGCTTAGGTGTCGGTCTAGTTATGATGCATAGTCTTAGGTGTCAGGCTAGTCAGGATGCTTTGGTATCAAGCTAGTCAGGATGCTTGGGTTTCAGGCTAGTTAAGATGCTAGTTAAGAGTCCTGGGTGTCACGCTAGTTAGATCTTTGTGTCTGCTATAGAGCTCCTCTATTTTTCTTTTGCATTCTTGGGGAACACAGGAAATGACATATGGGTGATACGTAGAATCGGTACTTATCACCTACTAGTCTCATATAGACTAGTAGGATGGAGTCCATCTGCCTAGAAAGATGTACCTGGATGTTAGCCGATTGGTATGGGGTCGCATCCTGGGGACAAACGTATCCTAATTTGCCAGAAATACTCTGCCTGGCCAGGAGTTTTGTATGTAGCATCATGGTCTTGATGTGAGCTATGGTCTGTAGAAGTTGTATCTTGTACTTGTAGAAATAAAGACTATTATTATCATTATTATAACTACACTCTAGCTACTTGTAATTTGAACAGATTGGTGTTACGCTAATTTAGCAGAGTGAGAGAGAGAGAGAGAGAGAGAGGAGAGAGAGAGAGAGAGAGAGAGAGAGAGAGAGAGAGAGAGAGAGAGAGAGAGAGAGAGAGAGAGAGAGAGAGAGAGAGAGAGAGAGAGAGAGAGAGAGAGAGAGAGAGACAGAAAGACATACAGAGACAGAGAGAGACAGAGAGACAGAGACAGATACAAAGACAGAGTGAGAAAGAGAGACAGAGAGAGACAGATACAAAGACAGAGGGAGACAGAGAGAGAGAGACTCACTTTAGAGAGACGCTTCTCATAAGGCATGGTGGGTATATGGGCTCTCAGACCCTCAAAGGCATCATTAATGGACGCCATGCGTCGCCGCTCGCGCATGTTGGCTGCCTGCCGCTGGCGCACTTGCGCCAGAGGACACATGCGCCTCCGCCGACGGCTCTCCCGGACGCTGGAGGCCAACAGGGAGTCCTCCTGTAGGGGTGAAAGTCTTTGAAAAATCCTGCTGTTGACGAACCTTAAAGAATTTTTTCACCTGGATAACTGAAGTGATGAGCCGTGAGGCTGTGTGAAGGTAGGCCGCAATAGGCCTAGAGGCGCTGCGCTTTGGTATCTATGGCTTGGCCTTTTTTCTGAAGCCGTGTCTGAGAGATTACCGAATTATACTTATTATTATATTAATAATAATAATAATAATAATAATAATAATTATATTATTGTTATTATTATTATTAGCATTATTACAATAATCATTATAAAATTAATTATTATAAATATAATAATAACTATTATAATGATTATTACAGTACTTTTATTTTTATTATTATTGATATCATAATTATAATTGTATTATGTATTAAATTATCTTAAAATATTAGTGCTGAAACCATAGAATTATACAACGCTTTGGGAATAGTGGATAATCAGGTTTGATCCAAGGAAAGAGGAGTGGATCTCCAGTTCCTTGCATCAAGAGCATCCAGGTGTCGGACACTGCATAACATAGACAGATGTCAGACACACAGTGAAGACATCGGGGGTCACAGTGACCTTCATTGTAAGGTACAAGGTGACCTACAATACAGGTACTAGGGTGACCTACGACACATTTACAAGGTTACTTACAACACAGGAACAATGGTGACCTACAACACAGGTACAAGGGTGACCTACAATACAGGTACTATTGTGACCTACGACACAGGTACAAGGTTACTTGCAACACAGGAACAAGGGTGAACTACAACACAGGTACAAGGGTGACCTACAACACAGGCACTAGGGTGACCTACGACACAATTACAAGGTTACTTACAACACAGGAACAATGGTGACCTACAACACAGGTACAAGGGTGACCTACAACACAGGCACTAGGGTGACCTACGACACAGGTACAAGGTTACTTACAACACAGGAACAAGGGTGATCTACAACACAGGTACAAGGGTGACCTACAACACAGGTACAAGGGTGACCTACAAAACAGGTACAAGGTTACTTACAACACAGGTACGATGTGACCTACAACATAGGTACAAGGGTGACCTACAAGACAGGTACTAGGCGACCTACAACACAGGTACAAGGGTAACCTACAACACAGGTACCTACGACACAGGTACAAGGTTACAACACATCAACAAGGGTGACCTATAACACAGGTACAAGGGTGACATACAACACATTTACTAGGGTGACCTACGACACAGATAAGGTTACTTGCAACACAGGTACAAGGGTAACCTACAACACAGGTACAAGGGTGATCTACAAAACAAGTACAAGTTTACTTACAACACAGGTACAAATGTGACCTACAACACAGGTACAAGGTTACTTACAACACAGGAACAAGGGTGACCTACAACACAGGTACAAGGGTGATCTACAACACAGGTACTAGGGTGACCTACGACACAGGTACAAAGTTACTTACAACACAGGGACAAGGGTGACCTACAACATAGGTACAAGGGTGACCTACAGCACAGGTACAAGGGTGACCTACAAAACAGGTACAAGGTTACTTTCAACACAGGTACAAATGTGACCTACAACACAGGTCCAAAGTGACCTACAACACAGGAACAAGGGTGACCTACAACACAGGCGCAAGGGTGACCTATAACACAAGTACAAGGGTGACCTACAAAACAGGTACAAGGTTACTTACAACGCAGGCACAAGGGTGACCTATAACACAAGTACAAAGGTGACCTACAACACAGGTGCAAGGTGACTTACAACACAGGAACAAGGGTGACCTACAACACAGGTACAAGGGTAACATACAACACAGGTACAAAGGTGACCTACAACACAGGTACAAGAGTGACCTACAAAACAGGTACAAGGTTACTTACAACACAGGCACAAAGGTGACCTACAACACAGGTGCAAGGTGACTTACAACACAGGAACAAGGGTGACCTAAAACATAGGTACAAGGTTACTTACAACACAGGTACAGAGGTGACCTACAACACAGGTACAAAGTTACAACACACGTACAAAGGTGACCTACAACACAGGTACAAGGGTGACCTACAACACAAGTACAAAGTTACTTACAACACAGGTACAGAGGTGACCTACAACACAGGTACAAAGTTACAACACACGTACAAAGGTGACCTACAACACAGGTACACGGGTGACCTACAACACAGGTACAAGGGAGACCTACAGCACAGGTACAAAATGAGCTACAACACAGGTACAAGGTGAGCTGCAACACAGGTAAAATATGACCTACAACATAGGTACAAGGTAAACTACATCACAGGCACAAGGTGACCTACAACACTGGTACAAAGTGAGCTACAACACAGGTACAAAAGTTACCTACAACATAGGTATGAGGTGACCTACAACACAGGTACAATGTGACCTACAACATAGGTACAAGGTGACCTACAAGACAGGTACTAGGCGACCTACAAAACAGGTACAAAGTGAGCTACAACACAGGTTCAAGGAAACATACAACACAGGTACAAGATGACCTACAACACAGGTACAAGGTTACTTAAAAAACAGGTACAAGAGTGACCTACAACACAGGTACAAAATGAGGTACAACACAGGTACAAGGTGACTGCAGCACAGGTAAAATGTGACCTACAACACAGTACAAGGTAACCTACATTACACGTACAAGGTGACCTACAACACTGGTACAAAGTGAGCTACAACACATTTACAAAGTTACCTACAACATAGGTATAAGGTGACCAACAACACAGGTGCAATGTGACCTTCAACACAGGTACAAGGTGACCTACAACACAGGTACAAGGCGACCTACAGCAGAAATACAAGGTAACCTACAAGACAAGTACTAGGTGACCTACAACACAGGCACTAGGGTGACCTACAACACAGGTACAAAGTGACTTACAACAAAGGTACAAGCTGACCTACAACACAAGTACAAGGTGACCTACAACTCAAGTACAAGGTGACTTACAGCATAAGTACAGGGTAACCTACAAGCCAAGTACAAGGTGACCTACAACACAATTACTAGGGTGACCTACAACACAATTACAAAATGATCTACAACACAAGTGCAAGGTGACCTACAATACAATCAGGTGGCATACAACACAGGTACAAGGTGACCTACAACACAAGTGCAAGGTGACCTACAACAAAGATACAAGGTGACCTACACCACAAGTACAAGGCGATCTACAACACAGATACTAGAGAGAGCTACAACACAAGTATAAGGTGACCTACGACACAAGTACAAGGCGAGCCACAACTCAAGTATAAGGTGACCTACAACACAGGTACAAGATGGCCTACAACACAGGCACAAGGTGACCTATAACACAGATACAAGGTGACCTACAACACAAGTACAAGGTGACCTACAACACAAGTACAAGATGGCCTAAAACGCAGGTACTAGGGTTAATTGCAACACAGGTTCACTGTGACCTACAACACAATTACAAGGTGACCTACAGCACAGGTACAAGGGTGATCTACAGCACAGGTAAAAGGGTGACCTACAACACAAGTACAAGGTGCCCTACAACAGAGGTACAAGGTGACCTTCAACACAGGCACTAGGGTAACCTACAGAAGTACAAGGTGACCTACAACACAGGTACAAACTCAGGTACAGGGGTGACCTACAACGCAAGTAGAAGCTGACCTACAACACAGGTACAAGGTGACCTACAACACAAATGCAAGGTGACCTACAACAAAGGTACAAGGTGACCTACACCACAGGTACAAGGTGACCTTCAACACAGATACTAGAATGAGCTACAACACAAGTACAAGATGACCTACGACACAGGTACAAGGTGATCCACAACTCAAGTACAAGGTGACTTACAACACTGGTACAAGATGACCTACAACAAAGGTACAAGGTGACCTACAACACAGGTACAAGGTGACCTACAACACAAGCACAAGATGACCTACAACACAGGTACTGGGGTGAATTACAACACAGGTTCAAGGTGACCTACAACACAGGTACAAAGGTGACCTACAGCACAGGTACACGGGTGACCTACAACACAAGTACAAGGTGCCCTACAACACAGGTACAAGGTGACCTTTAACACAGGCACTAGGGTGACCTAAAGAAGTACAAGGTGATCTTCAACACAGGTACAAACACAGGTACAGGGGTGACCTACAACACAAGTACAAGGTGATCTTCAGCACACGTACTAGGGTGAAATACAACACAGGTACTAGGGTTAGCTACAACACAAGTACAATGTGATCTACAACACAGGTACTTGGGTGACCTACAGCACAGGTACTAGGTGACCTACAAAACCAGTACTAGGTGACCTACAAAACAAGTACAAGGTGACGTACAACACAGGTACAAGATGACCTACAACACAGGTACAAGGTTACCTACAACACAGGTACAAGGCGAGCTACAGCAGAAATACAAGGTAACCTACAAGACAGGTACTAGGTGACCTACAACACAGGTACTAAGGTGACCTACAACATAGGTGCTAGGGTGAATTACAACACAGGTTCAAGGTTACCTACAACACTGGTACTAAGGTGACCAACACGGGCACAAAGCTACAATTTATAGTGTAAACCGCCGTTACCAGTGTTTTTAGTAGAAAGATAATTTAACACTGTTAGGAAGGTATCTCCATATTGTATGATGTGTTATACCTGCGTGAAGAAAGTGTCAGATATCAAGTAATATTTATAAAGATATATCTACGAAATCAGGGAACGAGTAGGGCTTCAACCCATGGCAAGTGTATCTTAAGACTCACAGGCCAGTGCGTTCACCACTGGGCCAGCTGGCTCTAATAAGATCCACAGCCACGCTGTTGTGGGATTCTTCTGTAAAAATCTATATTTGTGGTCACAGTGGTGGCCCATGCTAACCTCACTGTGTTGTATAGAAATATACTTAGTTGGATGCTTCTTATTAGAGCCAGCTGGCCCTGTGGCTTACACACTGGCCTGGAGTTGTACGACTCAATCGTTGTGGGTTCGACCCCCCACCCGTTCCCTGATTTGTTTGTAGTCTTGTTATTACGATCTCGTGATAACTATGCCTAGTGGGGTCTGATTAAGGCCCAGTGTCACCTTTGTAAGCCACTTCCTCTGCACTGCGGCTCACAGAATAAGCTTGGCTGTACAGTAAACTAGCCGCTGGAGCGGCACAAAGCAAAGGTGTTTGGAGGACTGGTCTGGGACCAGGTAGAATGACGGGGTGCGGTGGTCCTTGGAACTATGCACGGGTTATGGTGTGGTAAACCCACCTGTGGAGACTTGTGTGATGCTGTCCAGGGCAGCCAGGAGTCTGCAGCGTCGCAGGAGGAAGCTGGAGAGGAGGAGGAGGAGGCGGCGGCAGCATCCCACTCCAGGTAGCACGGGGAAGACATCCATTGACGGTTCATAACCTCGATGTTTATATTCTCAAGCCCGTACATGGTTGTTGTTGTTGTTGTTGTGGTTGTTGTGGTGGCGGTGGTTGTTGTGGTGGTAGTTGTTGTGGCGGTGGTGGTGGTGGTGACTCTTGTGAGAGTGGTTGTTGTTGTTGTTGTTGTTGTGGTGACACTTGTGAGGGTGGTTCTTCTGGTGGTAACACCTGTGAAAGTGGTTCTTCTGGTGGTGATAACACCTGGTGGTTGTGTTGGTAGCACCTGTGAGGGTGGTTGTTATGATGGTGGTAGCACCTGAAAGTGTGGTTGTGGTGGTGGTGGCAGTAGTTACACAAGTGAAGTGAACAAGGCAGAGGCCACCAGGAACGTGGTCAAGGCCGACAACAACAACAGTAATTCTAATTGTTACAATCTTGCAAATATTGGGTCCTAGACTACTATAAATTCCAATAGCTGTTGTAGATTTCCCAGACCGTGAATTTCCATGGGTTGTGTGTCTTCGATGGTGACAGAACTTAGTTCACTTCATGATCCTTTGTAAGTCAAATTATGTTACGTAGTTTTTTTACATTATAAATGATCTTCGTGAGTCTTGGTTAATCTCTAACTCAGCCAAGTAGTTATAAGTTGAGTTTCCATTCATCGTTTTGTTCTTCACTGTATTAAACGAGAGTTCATCGTGTTAACTCGTTATTCGTTTACACCGATAACTGGTTTTGACGTTATGTAGAGAGAGCAGGATAGTACCTAGCGTGGCAGCAAGACAGTTCCCTCTACACAAACACTGCTACATCTCAGTTCTCATAGTGTGTTCAACTTGACTATCATCACTCGCCACTGCGTCTTGTGTGTGGAGGGTTGTGACCCAGCACCCGCAGTAAGGAGGGTCACACGAATAACATTACTGCATCAACACAGTATGCTGGCAACCCGCCATGATCTTCACTCCGTCAGCGAGAACTCGCTAGGATACCTTGATCTGTTCAGAGAGTGTGTGATCCAGCGTGTAACACTGCAGACGTGTGGTAATGGCGGCAGTCAGAGGCTGGTGGTGACACACTGCTACTCCCACTCCTCGCCGTGATAATACAACACTGTTGTAGGCACCACGTGCTTTAGCCTTTGGTTTATCAATAACACACCGGACGTGCCAGATGTGCGATAGTACGCTAGTCAGAAATATCCTAGTTTTAAGAAACGCAGCTTTCAATTGCTTTTAATTAATTTTATACTAAGATTTGCCATCGTTTTATAATGAAAATACGCCATACTTATGATAAACCACACTTAAAATAGATTGTGTAAGTAATATTCTCATAATGACAGGAATGTGGACTCCGCCCACTGTTAGGAGAGCAGCCAATCACAGTGATGGAAACAGGTTGGTAGGCGGAGCCTGGGAGCTGAGGGGGAATAAGACTCACTAAGTCAAGTCTTCTGAATTATTAACATAAGTATCTATGAAATATTCCAGAAGAAAGAATGTTAGAGTCTTGAGACGACAGCTGCTCCTGCAGATATAAATGTACTGTATTTTATATGTATGATTTTTTTCCGTGTTGCGACAGAACACCAGAATATCTGTTAGTAATTTGTAATTTATTATTATTTTATTACGAAGACAGATAATGAATGGCCTGTGTGGTCGTAATGGGAATTGGAACAAACTAACTCAGCAGTAGACTATAATGTATATTTTCCCTTCATCTACTATACACAGACATGTACACTATGTACAATATATACAGATAGAATAATAAGTGTCCACCACGGGGACAGATGACAAAGCAGAAGTCAGAGTGTACCATACTCAGCCAGCAGGTAGACAAGTCTGACAGTGCTCATCGCAAGTAAATCCCATTGCTTTAGCTTTGGCAGGCTTGCCTGTGATTGGTCAGTGAACCAAGGTACTGATTTAATGATGGGTACCCTATTGGTCGTTAAACCCTTAGCAACCGGTTCGCTGGTTGGGAGGCAGCCTATATGGGAGTGTGACATATGCCGAATAAATTGTAACATACTCTTTGCATGCCACAATTATTATTATTTGCAGGTACAGAGATAGTTTAATATGTTTATTACGCAACCCATACCCATCCTGTGAGCGGTAGTCAAAAGGTTACAGAGGTACATAATGGGTCCAGGGATTGGGCACCAAAGTACAGAGGTAGAGCTTAGATCATGGAGCAGCGATGAGTACACTGAGAGAGAACTCAATAAGTGTGAATGGACCACGACCCTTCAAGACCCTCCCATCATGCAAAAGGGGGATTGCCAACAAACTCCTAGCTGTCTTCAATAGGGAGCTCGACAGATACTTCAAGAAAGTTGCTAATCAGCCGGGATGTGGTGCATACGTTGGAAAGTAAATTTTAAAGAAAATGGGCCGGGGATTGGGAAAAAAAACCCCCCAGTAGAGTTGTTTACACATATAAACACAAAGAATTTTAATATTAAAAAATTTAAATTTCCCCCAAAAAGGGGGAAAAAAATTTTGGTCTTGGGAAGCCGAAAATCTTCAAAAAGTTTTTTTTGGGGATTGGTTCAACCCCGGAATTTTGTTTTTAAAATTTTTTTAAAAAAAAAGGCCCCTTTGGGAGGGGGATTGGGGAAAAACTTTGCAAAATAAATTGTATTTTTTTTCTCCACATATAAATACAATTAAAATTTTATACAAAATAAAATCCGGGACATCAAAAAGGGTCAATACTATGGGTTCCCGTTTGCCCCAAAAATACATACTTAAAATTTTTCTATTCATAAAACCAATATGTAATAACCCTTTTCTCCCTTAAAAAGGGGTTTAAAAAAATTATTTTTTTTTTTAAAAATAAAAAATTAAAATTTAATAATTTAATAATTTTAATTTAAAATTTTTAATAAAAAATAATTTTTAAAATTTAAAATACAAAAAAAATTTTTTCCCCCAATTTTTCCAAATAATAACTTTCCGGGGATCTAAAAAACAAATTTTTTCCCAGTTTCAAAAACATTAAAAAATTAAACAAACCCCGCCTTCTTCAACAAATTAAAAATTCAATAATTTCAAAAGTTTTTAATTGTTTTAAGAAATTTTTTAAAAAAATTTAATTTAAAAAAAAATAAAAATTTATTTTATTTTAAATAATTAAAACTTTTTCCCCAATAATAAAATTAAAATAAAATTTTTATAATTTTAAAATTTTTTTAAATTTAAAAATAATATCCCCAAATTAAATAGGTTAAAAATCAAACAAAAAACACCGGGAATCACTTTAAATCGAAGTTTTAAAAATTACATTTTTAAAAAAAAACCCTTTTTTTAAAATTTAAAAAAATTAAAAAAAAAAATTTAAATAAAAATATAATAAAAAAAAATTAAATAATAAAAAAATTTATTTAAAAATTGAAAAATAATGATTTTTGTATTTTTAAAATTTGGTTTTTAAAAGGGAAAAAGTATTTTTAGTTTAAAAAAGAAAAAAAGTAAAAATTTAGTGAAAATAGAAAATTTTTTTGGAAAAGTTTTTATAACCTTGGGTTATTGTTTTAGGTTTTTTAAATGGCCCCGTTTTGAGAAAAAATTTTTTTTGAAAGGGTAAAACGAAAGGAAAGAAAATTTTTTAAAAAAATTTGAAGGGAAAGGGGGAGTGTATTTTGAAGGGGATAGTTTTATTGTGTTGTGAGTTTTTTTGGTTTTGTAAGTAGTGTTTGTGTTGTAGAGTGAAAGGTTTTTAGAGGATTTTAGGGGTTTTGAATTAGAGGGGGAGGGGTATATAGTTTTTGAGGGGAAAAAGATTTGAAATATAGAAGATTTGTAGAAATGTTTATTGTATTGTGTGTAGTATTATTGTAGTTTTTAGTAGGTGTTATTGTAGTTGTTTTAAGAAATTTTATTTTTTAAGTTTTGTAGTAGTTTATTGTAGTTTTAGTAGTTTTATTGTGTTGTAGTAGTAGTTTTTGAGTTTTTGTAGAGTTTATTGTATTTGGGTTTGTAGTTTTTTGTTTGGGGTTTATTAGTAGTGTTTTTATTGTAGTTTATGGGGTTTATTTTGTTGTAGTAGTAGTTTTATTTAGTTGTATAGTAGTTTTATTTAGTTTTGTAGTGTGTTATTGTAGTTGAAGTATTTTTTTGTAGTTGTAGTATTTTTTTTGTATTTGTATAGTAGTTTATTGAGTTGTAGAGTAGTTTTATTGTATTTGTAGTAGGTTTATTGTGTTTTTTAGAATGTTTTTGGGTTTTGTTGTGTAGTTTTTTGTAGTTGTATAGTAGTTTTTTTTGTAGTTGTTGTAGTAGTTTTTGAGTTGTGTAGTAGTTTTTATTGTAGTTGTAGTAGAAATTTATTGTATTGAGTAGTATGTTTTGAGTTGTAGTAGTAGTTTTTTATTTTTTATTTGTTTTGGGTTTTGTAGTATTATTGTAGGTAGTAGTTTTTATTGTGTTGTGTGTTATTTTTTGTAGTTTTGTAGTAGTAAATTTATTGAGTTGAGTGAAAATTATTGTAGTTGTAGTAGTATTTATTGTATTGTGTAGTAGTTTATTGTGGGTTAGTAGTGTTTTTAATTGTATTTGGGAGTAGAAATTTTATTTTGTTGTGAGTAGGGGTATGTAGTTGTGGGTTAGTTTATTGAGTTTTTAAAGTATTTATTGTAGTTTAGTAGTTTTATTGTAGTTGTGAGTAGATTATGTTTTGAGTAGTAATTTTATTTTGTAGTAGTAGTAGTTTATTGTAGTTGTAGTAGTATGTTTATTGAGTTGAGTAGTAGTTTATTTAGTTGTGTAGTAGTTTTTTTGTGTTTAGTAGTAGTATATTTAGTTGTAGTAGTTTTTTTGTATTGTAGTAGTATTTATTGAGTTGTAGTAGTGTGTTATTGTGTTGTTAGTAGTTTAGTAGTTGTATAGTGTTTATTGTGTTGTAGTAGATTTTGTAGTTTTGTAGAGTATTTTGTTTTTGTGTATAGTTTTATTGGTTGTGTAGAGTTTTATTTAGTTGTAGAGAAAATTTTTTGTATTTTTTTGGGTAGTATTTTTTTGTATTTGAAAAGTAGTTAGTGTTATTGTAGTTGTGTAGTAGTATTATTTTGTAGTTGTAGTGATTTATTGTAGTTGTTTAGAAAATTTTATTTATTTTGTGTAAGTTTATTGTTTTTTGTTGTAGAAGTTTATTGTTTGTGTAGTAGTATTATTTTTTGTAGTATTTTTTAGTAGTTGTGTAGTGTATTTTGTATTTTGAAAAGGGTTTTTTGAGTTGTTAGAATATATTGTATTTGGGTTTTTAGTATTTTTTGTAGTTTTGTGTAGTAGAGTTGTGTTGTTGGTTTTTGTATGTAGAAATTTTTTTGTAGTTGTTGTAGTAGTTTTTTTATTGAAAGATGTTTTGTAGTTGTAGTATTATTTTGGTGGGGGTTGTTTAGTAGTGTTTTAAAGTATTATTTTTTGTTGTAGTATTTTTTATTGTATTGAGTATGTTTTTTGTAGTTGTAGTAGAAATATTTTTGTAGTTTTTGATGTTTATTGTTTGTTGTAATATTTTTTATTGTAGTTGGTTTTGTATTTTATTATATTTTGTGTTGTAGTAGTATTTTATTGTATTTTTGTTGTATTATTGTAGTTTGTAGTGGGATTATTGTGTTTTTTGGTGTAATATTGAGTTTTTGTAGTATATTTTGTTTTTGAGTAAAAAATTTATTGTGTTTGTAGTATTTAAATTGTTTTTGTAGTATAGTATTGTATTTGTAGAGTGTATTTTGTAGGTGTAGTATTAGATTATTTAGTTTTTGTTTGTTTATTTATTGTAGTTTGGGGGTATTTTTGTATTTTTTTGTAGTATTATTTTTGTAGTTGTAGTAGAGATTATTGTTTGTTGTAGAAAGTTGTTTTGTAGTTTTTGTAGTTTATTTTTTTGAGTTGTTGTAGTAAAATTTTTGTTTTGTATAAGTATTGTATTTGTAGGAGATTATTGTAGTTTTTAGTTTTTTAAAATTTGTAGTTTTGTATTTTTTTGTGTTGTAGGAGTTTATTGTATTTTTTAATATATATTGTAGTTGGGGTTTGCAGATTTTTTATTGTAGTTGTAATTTGTAGTAGTATTTTTTGTTTTGTAG